GATGGATAACCACAGCAGTTGCATGTTTGCGATTCTGCTTATAAACTTACCAATTTACTAACCAACACTAATCGCTAACCAAATTTTTCTGTTATAGATTTTTTCCCTGATCACTAAACGATAGTTTATGTTTTTGCAGGGATCTTGATCTTCTTCTTGTCTTTGTCGATGCTATGGTTTTAAGGTGTGAAAACCAGTGGAAAACGAGCGCTCAGCGTCGACTATAAGTTATCCATATGTGAAGAATCATGTAACTTGATTTAGTTATGACTTCTTTTAATTGTTTCTTTTACTGCAGCAAAGCAGTTGTACAAATGTTTTTGAAGTATTTTCAAGTGATGCAAAATCAGAAAGAATGATTTTCTTTAAAAAAGTTGGTTTTGTTCTATTGTTTTTTTAATACTCTAAAGTAATGATTTTATTTTCCGCTTAGTTGGTGCCCTGCTTCATGTTTATGCCGATCAAGCTCAGGATGATATCGTTTAAGGCTTTATCTTATTTCCCTATATTTTCTACAAATGATTCAACAATAAAGTACTCGTGGACTACGACTTGACATTCCTTTAGACCATGCTCTAATAGACGTCACTACTGCATTGTCAATGCATTGTGGGATCAATTTCTAGAGAAAACAAAAGAAATCCGCCATGTTCTGTCCCAAACATATCCTACAATGCATTGTGTATACAGCACATGACCTAAAAGCTTCAGAGGTCTAATCTTCACCATAACATCAATGCAGAAAATATAACAATAAGATAACAATAAGCTAAGGTATAGGATTTATTCGGAAGTGAAATGGTGCGATATACACAACTATATCAACGGAATTGCACAGGAAGCCCAATCTCTATTGATATGTCACTGTAAGGCCTAACGGTACAATGCTTTGTACGAGTCTCAAGGTCTTGTGACTATAAATAACAAGGTCCAATTTATATTCTTCAGTTTTTTGATTAAAGTGAAACTGAACCCTTCTAGAAAATCGTTTTAAAATCATTTAAAAAAAAGGCAAATATGATGCTAATCATTTTCTTGAAGAAAAAAAGTTGTTTGAATTCTATTTTCTGAGTTAAAGTC